ACATGGCGCCCACCACTCCCCCCTCTCGCCGGCCACCGTTTGTGCCAAACTCCCGATCGTTGGCCCGCCTCCTTTTATGGGCGTTGGTGGCCGGTGTGACTACAGCGCTACTGTTTCCACGCGTACCGACCGTGGACATTACGGCGTCGGAGCAGCAGTGTGTGCCGCTGGGCCGCCCGCTGGTCACGGTCGCCTGTTGGCTCGGTGGACCGGCCGGCACCCGAGTTACTTCGTAATGTGCACAAGGCCCGACCGTGGCGGGGTTGGCGGCGATGTGCACGGAAGGCTGATTGTATCGGACGGAATGTTCTTCGGCTGTACGCCCGTTAGCGTGTCAGCTCCCGGCCGCGGGTACACAGTGCATCCCGTTGCCCCAATGTGAAAAACCCGCTCCTATGGGTAAACCCAGCCAGGGAAGGATCAACGCCTGTGAAGCGCCAGAAAAGACCCCGGCGCGAAAGGACCGAAGGCCGGTCGGGTCGATCCGAAGGCAGCCCGAGCTCTCGCGACGGCGCCGTATGGGACTAGAGACCCGGACGGAACCGCCGAGCCACAAACGGCGGTCGTCTTTGGGAAGCCACCTCCCGCCCGACCCCCGGCCCAGGCATGGCGAGTGCTGTCGTACTGCGACAGCCACGGTCTGCCATCCTTAGTGGCGTTGTGTAACATGGTCGGAGTGAACGAACTGTTGCACTTCTGCAGCGATCACGAGCGCGGTTGGTGGTACGACCTGTTCGGTAACCAGATGGCTGACGATACGGCTGGCTGTTACTGCCACGTGGTGGGTTTCAGGGTGCCCCCGACCCGTTACTGGCCGCACGCATCCGGAAGGCGGCGGCCCATACGGCAAACGGGGCTACATTTCGATTACTCACCACACCCCGCCGAATACTCCGGGTTAGCGTTCAATGTCGACAAGTCAAATCCGTGGGCTTACGTCTCAGATGTGGACCATACTCACTCCGGAATGGTGTGCAGGGATGGAAGTACGCCCCGTTTCACCTTGAACAGCAGCACGCCGGCCACTTTCAGACGACCCCTACCCGCTGAGCCGGACTAGGCAGTTAGCCCGTCCCACGGCGGACCGTCAGGCCTACGTACCGGCGATGGTCCGCCACCGGCCGGCTTGGGTGCATTGAAGGATGTTCCAGACTGGCGGGTGGAGCGTAGGCTCCGGTTGGCGTGCGGGTGTTGTAGTTGCACTGCGGTCAGCGGCCGGTTGGCGTGAGACGTTCCTCATGCAGCCGCGCGCGTCTACACCGTTGTGTTGGGGTGGTCGTACTAATACTAGTGCCGACCTGTCCTGTGGTGCCGTTTTGGCAAGGCCCATCCTTTGGGGCCCGAATCGACGGATGTCACAGTAGTACTTTCTCAGGTCCATGTCGCCCGTTGGCCCCTTGATCCAGAGCTACCATAAGGGCTCATTGGGAGTATTATTCGGCGTGTGTGGAGTCGGTTTAGGGAGGCTGTGATTGACGTAGTGACGGCTCGAAGGAGCCCAGTGGCCAGGCATCAAGAAGCCGCCTGGCATTCAAACCCTCGTGGCGTATTGGTCATACGCTTTGGAGGCCGCCCTCGTGGCGGAGTCGGTTCGAATCCGACCGGGACACGACCTTTGGGGAGGTCGAGACCGGCAGACTAGCCCATCCTGCCTTACAGTTAGGTTGTACCAAATGGGAATACAGCCTCTAGGGACCTGGGTCATCCCTAGCGGGGCGCTCCCGTCATTTACCGCCGCCTTGAAGCACCCGTGTGGGCGACATCACACGCATGCGGACGACCTCGCCCGACGGTCGAAAAATCCTCGGGCCGCCTGCGCAGCGCGTTACCACGCAACCAACACCTCAACAACGCCGCAAAACTCTCAACGTCACCGTCCAACCCCTACGATATCCACCAACCACGATAGGCGACAAGATGCTCAACGTTGAAAGACATATGCGCAGACAGGATAGAATAAGGGGGGTTTTCATCCCGGGCTTCGGCTATAGGGTTTTTCCTGTATTGGTAACGAATAGAGGCTATCCGGGTCAGTTCATTGAAGTCCAAGTAATACTTTGCCATTGTAACGGTCTCAACTGAGTGTGTTGACAACTAGTTGAGCGACTGCGACGAGTATCCTAAAGCTAAGGAGAAAGAAAAGAAGAGGAAAGGAAAGGAAAGCTCTCGAAGATTGGTACGAGCTTATAAGCGGAGCTCCGGTGGGTCTTGTCGAGAGCGGAGCCGAGACCCTCACGGGCTCAGCCTGTTACAGCCATGAAATTTGCATCGATTGTAGTCTGTCCCCCCATACAGCGGCATCGGGCATTGGGGCGTGAACGATTCTAGCTGTAATCCGATGGTATCCGAGGGCTTGCTGAGCACCGCTGATCTGGTCGGGTGGGGCGAGTCCAGAATCAGCGACCAGGCGAGCCAATCGTATCCGCGGATATCCATCCCTGCCGTTACGGCAGGGGCCGTGGATATACAGATATCGTCGCCCCCCTGCTGATTGTGTAGCCGATTCCATGGAGGAGCCGCTATCCACGTTCGCTACGACGCCCTGTCCACGGGCGTTTAACGACCCACCGGCACGGCGGTGTGTATCATGGTCGCTGGATATAGTCTCTCTTGTAGCCCGCGCGCCGCCCCACTCCGATCCGGACTGGTGGTGGGGCTCGAGGCGCGGGCCAATTAGGATGCTGGCGGCGTCCCCTTTGGGAAGTCGGCGGCACGGATTCAAAATTTGGGCAACTTCTCCAGGCACGCGGCTGCGATGGATTCCCACCAGTGGCAAGCCGCGAATAAATTTCAGGGATACTCGAGTACGAGAGTACGATGAGTAGCAAACCCACTTGAAACAATACAGCCCATGTGTCTTCATGCTCTACCCGAAGGTAAGGACATAGTTGTTTCCGGTAGATCGCACTTGGCGGGGCTACCCTAGAGCGCGCCTGAAAATCCCGCTGACGGGCACCATCGAGCGATGCGTTGGCTCGGCGTTTGGCTCGACAGCTCTCTCTTCAAGACACACGTCGAGAAATGGACGGCCAAGGCGCAAGCTGTTGCCTTTCATCTTAGGAGACTGACGAACACGAAACATGGCCCTCTGCCGAGTGCTATGCGACGAGCCGTCTGCGCTTGCGTCATCCCCGTGCTACTGTACGCGGCGGAGGCCTGGTACCCTGGTCCGAAAAGCCCGCGCTGGACGAAGCCTTCCAAGGAGGGCCGTCGGGGATTGGCAACCTCGTCAAGAAGATGAGCAAGGCACTCTACACGTCTCTTCGGGCTATTCTGCCAGTGTGGAGGACGACACCGACGAACGTGCTGCACAGGAGGCGGGAATACCGCCCGTTCCTCTACTCCTCGAAGGGCGTCGGACGGCCTTTGCTGCGCGCCTTAAAGCTCTCGACGAAGCTCACCCGCTCGTCCAGCGCACGTCGCGACCAAAAGCTCCCGTCGTGACCGTGAACAAACTTATCAAGTTGAAGTACCAGAAACAGCCACAGCCCTTCCGTACCAGACTGCGGCGAGCCGACGAAATGCTATCGAGCTGCCCGAGACCTGCTTTACTGCAGCGCGGATTTGCCGAAGAGCAGACTGCGCCTCTGCAGAGTGCATCGAAACACGAGACGGCGAAAAAATTTCGCGACTGGCTTCAGGCACTATCGCCCCGAACTCTTGTCGTCTACTCCGACGGGTCTCGTTCTGAGGAAGGCCACATCGGATACGGCTATGCTGTTCACCGGGACGGATCCACCGTCTTGAGCGGCAAGGGCCGTCTTGGAACAGCTGAGGTTTTCGACGCTGAGGCGAAAGGTGCATTGAGGGTTGAAGGCTGCGGTGAGCCTTCCAGAAACTGACCGCATCTTTGTCTGCCTCGACAACCTCGCGACCGCAACATGCTTACGGGGCACGCCGAACGACTCCTCGCAAGAGGTCTTCCTTGAGTTCCAATCTTTGGCGCGAAAATACGGAGCTGTGGAGGTCCATTGGATCCCCGGCCATGCTGACATCCCAGGCAACGAGGAGGCTGATGCTCTGGCAAAGGCGGGAGCATCACTGCCAGAACCCGCTGATGGCGAACCGACGCTAGCGCATCTGCGAAAAATTGCCCGACTGCAGCGGAAAGAGGCTTTCAGTGCCTGGTGGGAAACCTCTGCGCCGGAGCGATACAGAGACCTGAGGCTTAAAGCCACAACCAGCTGTCCGTCAGAATTGGCGCTCTCTCGGCCCCTGCTTCATAACTTGCTTGCAGCAAGAACCCACCATGGGGATTTTGCTGACTACCACGAAAGGTTTGGTCACGACGATGCGCGACTGACGTGCTCGTGCGGACGACGAAAGAGCCAGCACACATCTTTTACTGCAGAAAGGTTGCGCCACGGCATCGTATGCGGCTTGCACCTTGGCCGGCTGCAGCCATCAACCGCGCAATCGGCAAGGACTTTGACAAATCCGTCAGGCGAAAGCGAGCTCCTTCTTCGGAGGATCTGCCCACGCCACTAGACGGTCATTATTCTCCTCTCTCACCCTACTTTTCCTCTCAATCCTTTCTGTTACCTGCTCCGATCTCGGGCGGCGTCAAGGTCTCGCGACCATGCGATCGCCGAGGTCATCAAGGGCTGCAAGGCCCCAGAAGCAAATTGGCTGATCTGACCACGGGACAGCTTTCTCTTCGTGCCTGGACGTCCCGCTGACGGGCAACAGGTTTGTCATGAGCGCCGTTGAGCCGATGAAATGCTGGATAGTGGGTGAAGTGTACGATATGTAGCATGTAGACACCTGCTAGCTCAGCACGTCCTGTGCTCCCCTGCGGAGACCTGAGCGACCAAAAGTTGCTGGACGGAAAATACACTAAACTAAACTAAACTAAACTGACGGGCACCAGCCATCCTTCCCTGCATTTTTACTTTCTTGGCACGCAAGTGTTAAGGAAGTAGCCTATCCATACAGCTTTTCGCTTAACAGTGCTCTTGAAAATTCCGCAACAGCGCCGCGCGAAAGCGCCGGCAGCGGCCATGGCACCAGCCTCAGGTTCGCGCGCCGCTCCCTGTGCTGTCGACATACAATCGCCACCTGATCTAGCAGCCCGTGCATCTCAGCACCTACTGTCCTCTCCGGCGGAGGCTCGTCCAAATGTCTCAACCCTGGCGGCTCAGCAGCTCCCTCGACCGACGTCTCCCAGCGACACGCCCAACGCTGCCGTCGCGGAAGGAACGCAGCCGGAAATAATCCCGAATGGCCCTGGTTCGACCGGGTCCACGGAAAATGCACCTGTCTCCATCATCGAAGCGGCTACAAAGATCGCTCGCGACCAAACGGCAGCCCATGATGCCAAGCTGGCAGTCTTTCGGGCCTTTAGCGAATCATTCGAACAGACAGCCAAACAATTCACGTCCGGCTCCCACAATAGCATCGCAAAGCAAGTTGCCACCAAGTTTCTGAACCTCTGGACTCAATCGCTCGCCGACCTTGAGGAACCACCGAAACCTACGTACAGCAGCGTTCTCACATCCGGCAAAACGACACAAGGACAGCTGGCCATTACGGCCTCCGCCCCACCACAGCGAAAACAGCAAACCACCACTCGTCTCCAAGGACGACCGCCCGTGGCCCCACCCAAGGAAGACCTGCGTGTCTTTGTCCGACTTGACGTCGATGCTCCGGCCCGAAACCATGAAAGATACGCTATCCGGGCCCACATCGCCGCTAGAGTCGGCATCGACCTACGCCGCATCCCGGCAGCCTTCCCGGTAAACACGGGTTGGGCCATCCTGGCATCGGATGTGGCCACGCGCGAACTACTCGTGCAGCGACAGGCGGATTGGGCCGTAGATCTGGACGCGACGGCCGTAGAGATTAGCCAGAAATGGCATTCGTATGTCGTAGCCGATTGCCCCGTAGGCTCACGGACCTACGCGGCGTTGAGATCAACTTCGATGAGGCGGTCAAAGAAGAAATTGCCTGCCAAACCGGACTGAAGCCCATCAGCATACGGACCTCGCGACACGACTCGGGCGATATGCCTACCCAGGCCCTTATTGTATCCTTCCTGGAACCCACGCAGAGACCCTGGCGACTGTTCGGCGCCAGCCGGTTCGCCCGCTATATCGACAAGCCCAGCATTCCTAGCCAATGTGACAAGTGCTGGGATTTCCACGCTCGACACAGCTGCGATCGAACGGCGCGCTGCAGGCGTTGTGGCAAAACCGGCCATCGTAGCCAAGAATGCACCGCCCTCGAGCAGTGTGCAAACTGCCTTGGACCCCATTGCGCGGATGACCCCAAATGCCCTGCCCGCCCCAAGCGCGTTCACGGCATGGTCCGGCGCCTGACGAAGGAGGAGAAGAGCCTGGTACGGCAGATGGGAGTTCAGCTCTCTGCGCAGCAGAAGCGGCAGACTCAAAGGCCAGAGTGTCCGACCAGTCTGATCAGAGCCCTGGCAGGCCGCAGACACTTTCCTTGGAGTCAACGGCGCCGCGGGCAGCTGGAGGAGATGGAAGCTCCGACATGGGCGCCATTTACGAGCCAGCCGCGCCGTCAACCCCATGCATCATTGTGGCCACAACGCCGCCGCATGTAAGGGACGGCGACCAGTTCCTCCCTGTCGTCCCATCGAAGAAACGACGCACTAGTCCTGTGACGCTACCCTAATGCCTCGCTGTTTTCCACGCAATCGAAGCGATAGGAGGATCTTGCGAATCTTCCAAGCCAACGTAGGCAAGATTCCGCCGGCACACGATTGTGCCCTTGCGTTGGCCGACTCGGAACAATACGACATTATTTTGTTGCAGGAGCCATGGACAGGACTGAAAGACGGCCGATGCCTCACTAAGACGCATCAGGCCTACGACACCTTCTCACCCGTCAACGACTGGGACGGCCGCGACACTCGCCCGAGAGTCATGACATACGTCCGGCGTTCCGCAGGTCTCGTCGCTGATCAAAAGAGACCTGCGGCGACTCGTGACATCCTTTGGCTCACCGTCAACGGCATAACAGTCGTCAACTTCTATCGGCAGCCGTACCACGACGGAGCCCTTGAAATCTTGCTTCAGTGGACCGTACCGGACAAGTGTCTTGTTGCTGGTGATTTCAATGCCAAACATCCCAGCTGGCAGGCCGGTCGACGAGAGGACCGCGGCGAAGAAATAGCGTTTTGGGCAATGGACAATCGACTCGGCTTACTGAATCCTGTCGATGTCCCGACCAACGCACACGGCAATACGGTTGATCTCGCCTTCTGCAACATACCTCTGGCCGACGCTGTTGTCGAGGATCATCTAGCAACCGGCTCCGATCATTTTACCCTTAGTATCACGCTGCCAGGACAAGTTCTGGCACCCCTTCCAATAGGAAAGATCCATCTCAACTCCGACGAGGAATTGAAGCGATTCATTGAGTTAGTGGAGGCCGGTGCCGCCTTCATCCCGATCACCACGGCATCTCCTTCCGAGCTCGACAGCTTTGCGTCGGCGCTCGTGAACCTTCTTGGTTGTGCAGCCAGAGCTGCCGGTCGACCTGCCCGTAAGACTACGCATGGTGCGCGGTGGTGGACTGAAGAATGCGCAAAGGCGGCGGCCAATTACCGCGCGTGGAGGAGAGTTCACTCTCTCGGCTTCGACCGAGAAGTACAGCTAGCCAAGAGGGAGCTCCATAGCGTGGTGCGCCGGGCCAAGCGCCTTTACTGGCGTAACTTGATTGACAGCTTCACCGATAGCGCCTCCGTCTTCAGGGCGTCCGCTGGCTGAAGTCTCCAGGTCCGTTTCAAGCTCCTCCCCTGCAAATTGACGACCGAGTGTATGAGACGCAGCTGGAAAAGGCCACCGCCTTGCGACAAGCCACTCTGGAACGGCGCACGGCGAACGACGACATCCCAGATCCGTGGATCTCCGTGAACACAGATAGGACGATACCCTTCACCGACCGAGTCTCTCCGGAGGAGACCCGCGACGCCACGCTACGCACCGGGAATACGTCCCCTGGTTCCGACAATATTACGGTGCGGATGCTCCGCGCTGTCTGGCATGCGATCGGAAGTCTCGTCCACCAGCTATATCAAGGCTGCCTCAGGATTGGCCACCATCCGAAGCCCTTCCGAGAAGCAGAAGTGGTCATGATTGCCAAGCCGGGGCGCAGGGATCTCTACACCCCGCGCTTGGCGCCCCATCTCCTTTTGTCCTGTCTCGGCAAGGGCCTCGAGCGGCTCATCGCACGGCGTCTAGCGTGGGCCTCGGTCCATTTCGGCGTACTACACCCACAACAAGCCGGCGCGCTCCCGAAGAGATCGGCCGTGGATCTCGTTGCTGCCTTGATTCATGACATCGAGGAGGCATTTGCCTGCAAGCAGGTTGCAACATTGGTGACTTTGGACATTCAGGGCGCCTTCGACACAGTCCTCCGCAACAGATTGATCCTTCGCCTACGGGAGCAAGGGTGGCCACCGAACCTCGCGCGATGGGTCGGCTCGTTTATGCAAGACAGGTCGGCACGCATCCGCTATCAAGATATCGCAACGAATTCATCGCCTCTCCAGTGCGGGCTGCCACAGGGATCGCCAGTCTCGCCGATCCTCTTCCTACTGTATACGGAATCAATCTACCGCTTGGGCAGCTCAAAAGGGCGTTTCGGCTATGCGGACGACACTGCTATCCTTTGCGTCGGCGATAGCCTGGATGAGACGTCCGCCGAAGCATCTCATCATGTGCGTGAGCTTGTATCGTGGGGCGCCGCCAACGGATCTCCTTCGACCCTGAGAAGACAGAAGTGATGCACTTCTCTCGAACGACGCCCAAGACGGCGCCGCCAGTGCTCCATGGCGAATTTGAGAAACGGCCGGGCCGGGCGATGCGTTGGCTTGGCGTCTGGCTCGACAGCACTCTGTCTTTCAAGACTCATGTCGAGAAATGGACGGCCAAAGCGCAAGCAGTCGCCTTCCATCTCAGGAGACTGACAAACACCAGGCATGGTCCTCTACCGAGCGCTGTGCGACGAGCGGTCTGCGCTTGCGTCATTCCAGTGCTGCTCTACGCGGCGGAGGTCTGGTATCCTGGTTCTACGCGCCCGCGCTGGACCAAGCCGGGCAAGGAAGGACCGTCCAGGATCGGACACCTCGTAAAGAAGATGAGCAAGGCACTCTACACATCTCTTCGGGCTATCCTGCCAGTGTGGAGAACTACACCAACGAATGTTCTGCACCGGGAGGCAGGGATACCGCCGGTCCCTCTGCTGCTCGAGGCGCGCCGGACTGCATTTGCTGCGCGTCTCAAACCCCTGGACGAAGCTCATCCGCTCGTGAAGCGCACGTCGAGGCCAAAAGCCCCTATACTGAATGAAATGATCAAGCTGAAGTACCAAAAGCAGCCAAAACCCTTCCGGACTAGGCTGCGGCGCTCCGACGAATTGCTACCAAGCTGCCCAAGGCCTGCCTTGCTGCAGCGCGGATTTGTCGAAGAGCAGACTGCGCCTCTGCAGAGTGCATCGAAAAATGAGACGGCGAAGAAATTTCGCGATTGGCTCCAGGCACTATCGCCCCGAACTCTGGTCGTCTATTCCGACGGGTCCCGTTCTGCCGAAGGCCACGCCGGATATGGCTATGTTGTTCATCGGGACGGATCCACCGTCTTGCGCGACAAGGGCCGTCTTGGGCCCGCCGAGGTTTTCGACGCTGAGGCGAAAGGTGCGTTGGAGGGGTTGAAGGCTGCGGTGAGCCTTCCAGAAACTGACCGCATCTTTGTCTGCCTCGACAACCTCGCGACCGCAACATGCTTACGGGGCACGCCGAGCGACTCCTCGCAAGAGGTCTTCCTTGAGTTCAATCTTTGGCGCGAAAATACGGAGCTGTGGAGGTCCATTGGATCCCCGGCCATGCTGACATCCCAGGCAACGAGGAGGCTGATGCTCTGGCAAAGGCGGGAGCATCACTGCCAGAACCCGCTGATGGCGAACCGACGCTAGCGCATCTGCGGAAATTGCCCGACTGCAGCGGAAAGAGGCTTTCAGTGCCTGGTGGGAAACCTCTGCGCCGGAGCGATACAGAGACCTGAGGCTTAAAGCCACAACCAGCTGTCCGTCAGAATTGGCGCTCTCTCGGCCCCTGCTTCATAACTTGCTTGCAGCAAGAACCCACCATGGGGATTTTGCTGACTACCACGAAAGGTTTGGTCACGACGATGCGCGACTGACGTGCTCGTGCGGACGACGAAAAGAGCCAGCACACATCTTTTACTGCAGAAAGGTTGCGCCACGGCATCGTATGCGGCTTGCACCTTGGCCGGCTGCAGCCATCAACCGCGCAATCGGCAAGGACTTTGACAAATCCGTCAGGCGAAAGCGAGCTCCTTCTTCGGAGGGATCTGCCCACGCCACTAGACGGTCATTATTCTCCTCTCTCACCCTACCTTTTCCTCTCAATCCTTTCTGTTACCTGCTCCGATCTCGGGCGGCGTCAAGGTCTCGCGACCATGCGATCGCCGAGGTCATCAAGGGCTGCAAGGCCCCAGAAGCAAATTGGCTGATCTGACCACGGTACAGCTTTCTCTTCATGCCTGGACGTCCCGCTGACGGGCAACAGGTTTGTCATGAGCGCCGTTGAGCCGCTGAAATGCTGGATAGTGGGTGAAGTGTACGATATGTAGCATGTAGACACCTGCTAGCTCAGCACGTCCTGTGCTCCGGAGACCTGAGCGACCAAAAGTTGCTGGACGGAAAATACACTAAACTTCTCACGAAGAGAGCATGCAAGTGGGCATTGATTGTGTAACGATGGGTATGATTTGTTGTATTCCGTTCTGTCTGTCCCTCTTGCAATGCCCTCTTCTAGGCTCCCTATTTATATCCCTTGGTTCCCTATTGATATCCCCTTTTCAGTTGTATAGGTACAATATCTAGGAGGCTGGGCTCCTTTCCCAGCCCCCTTTGCATACTGACTTTCCCTAGTCGCCGAGGGCTCTTTCAGCTTCCCCGTATATGCAGTCTCTCTACAGCCTGTGTGGCTGCCTAATGCGGTCTCCTAATAGTCTTCTGCAGCCTCAGAACTCTCTGCAGGCTGCCTTTCTGTCTAGCCGTCAGGGCCCTTAGCTGTATACCCTTATGGTCACCCTGAGCTCAAGATCTCAGACGTGCTTCGCGACAAAACTAAACTAAACTAAACTAAACGGACGAATATACAAAGCTCGAGATCCAACAACCATGACGCGCAGACGATCGATCTCACTTCCGACGATAGTCAAACAGAACGACAGATAGCTCCTACGATGACAGTCCCAGCTATAAAGTCTACAAATGGATTACGTCAACTCGTTACGGCCACGAACGAGGGCAACACCCATCGCTCTGAGAGTGCGCAGGCAACAAGAAAGCGATCAATGCTCCAGCCCTTCGATCTAACGGTGAACTTTTATTGTGCGTCCTTTAGAATCATCGATAATAAAGGATTGCCTGTAAAGAAGTATCACGTAGGATATCCTAGTCTTGTACGGAAGGTTACACACTGTTTCTTTTCCGAACCAGCCAAGCAATTCCCGTCACATTCCGACATGATTCAACAGATTATTCGCAGAGCCATTAACGACGAGACTTTAATCGATCGCGACTGGAAGCTCCTATCAGCTTGCTTAGCAAACAATCCAGGCTCGATCTCGTATTATCCATCACAAGCATACGAGACGACATCCCTGCTTGACCTTTTCGCTCGATCTCAAACAAGGCGATTGCATCACCTTTTAAGTACTCTTTAATCTTTTTGTTCTCTTACGAGAGCGACAACAACCCAGACGACCTCTTCGAACCCGCACATATTCTTAGCGCCAAGAACGAACCTTTAGTTAAAAAAGAGAGTGCGTCTTCGAAGAAACGCAAGCAACTCCTAAGACTAAACCGACGCCGAAGAATACAAGCAAGAAGTTTAAGGTAGAGGCTATCAAGGAGGAGGCCGAGAATAAATCTACGATACAAGTAGCATCTGAGGCGGATTTTGACTTTTCACAGGACTTTAAGTCAGATTTAGGGAGCCCAGGTCAGGTCTTAGAGGATATCAAGGAAGGCGAGACTCAAGAAGATGGTATCTCTAACGCGGACGGGACTATAGGGAGCAAATGGTTACACGTCGTCAAGCTCATGTAAAATCGCAATCTTAACCGTTCACTTGCTTTTTCTTTAATTACCATCGTCACTCCTAAAACTCAACTGTTCAAGATCGTCTAGGCTAATATTAGACTGTGATAAGACTTGTTGTAGTCGGTCCCGACCATTTTCTGGGCGACTAAGTAACGTGACTTCCGGTTGCTTCTGATCAGTAATATACTGATGCAGATGTGTCCGGAGCGAGTTGTACTCGTCAAGCCATGGATATTCCGGGTTCGGAGGACTTGAAGATATAGTTCCAATGCTTAATTGAACCAAATAATCGCATATCTCTTTAGTTTTAAGCGGTAGGTAGTCGTCTAGGTTCGTGGTATCCTCATCGAAAAGCTCGGTGCATATGCGAAGCCGATCCGGTGGGATCTCCTCGGCATAATTCTGTTCACCAGCAGAATCAAGCTGATGATATAAGACCGTAGGTTGCCCGCTTCGAACGTGTGGACGATTTGGCTGATGTCGAATAGTATGACTGTTCCACATATGAACGAATTGGACTAGCTCTTGACGGATAGTATCCATATAGATATAGAGAATTGCCACTCGATCCGCCCTTGAGCTACTGTCAAATAAGCCATGTTCGGTGAGCCATTGAAAGTATTGCTAATGGAGAGTTAGTATAACTAGGGTAGATGATGGATAAAATTATACTTACTCGCCAGAACCCAGCACGATTACTGCCTAACCGATGCCACCAGCTCTCAATCCGGGTGTTATGAATGCTTCGGCCAAAGTACCAGCAGTCTCCAAATGCAATTGGGACGAGATAAGAGACCTGTTCCTTCGTTCGCATGCCGGATAGGTAATAATGTATCCCGCATAAGAGGGATGTCTCATTACCATGGTCCGATCGCAAGATACGAGGCATAGCGTGCCGCTGGTTTAGTACGTGGAGGTACTGTTTTGCAACGTTCCAGCTCGTACTGGATGAAAACCCACAGTAAAACCACGTAATATACCGTGAGTACGCGTCAATACCAGCATAGATCTCAAAACCCCAATTCTTAAGTTTGTCGTAGCCATCAATAGACCAGACCCAGTCTGGGCCATGGATAGAGAAGTCACGTCGTTTGTAACGTGTTCGTCCCCATCGTTCCCTAACGTTCTCAGGCGTGAAGTCTCGATACTCTGCGTATAGGGCATCACGACTAATAATATGATGTTGCTGGCGCATATACGTAGGTATAGAGATAGTTCCGGCCATGTCCTTGTAGAGTTGTAGAGATCTGTGCCTGGCTGTTAAAAAAGGACCGGGCGCGTTCTCTTGCGACTTGGAGCGCTTCAGGGATTGGCGGCGGTAGAGCCCTCTTCAAGCCGAATTCTTTCAAGACGGAACTTTGAGATCGTAACCCCTCGTCTCTAAGTCGTTCAAGCATGAAATCATCCTTAAGACATTCATCAAAGAATAGCGACCTAATTCGGTCCCGTAAGGTATCTGAAGTGATCGTACGTGCTTGACGAAGAAGTCCCCAGTCTTTGATCGATCGATAGAGACTGGCGCGGCTTACTTGAAGCTGATGATGCTCGAGAAGATGCGTACGGATTGTATTAATAGAGGATCCATCTCGATGCAAGCCGGTGATTTCCTCCTGAACTGTGGAAAGATCAATTTGTGGTCGAGGCATATTTGTTTAACTGAGTAAAGCGCTATTCGGGCTCAATGATATCGTAGAAGGGAGAAAAGCACTGAAAATGTGTACCAATGCGCAGAGCGAACGCTTACTTTCATTTCTTTCAATATACCGGTACAAGTTACCCAGTTGCACTTAGACCCGATCGGGTAATCTAACCCCGGGGTGCCCACAGCCCAAAATGCGTTTTGATACAGTCTGGCCTACAGTCGCCCGTAACGGTGGTTCTGTGGCGTGCCTAATGGGGAAAGTGCATTGTGGAATCTATTGGTATGATGGGGGTCAAAGCAGCTCGTTTCTGTTGCGAAGACCATTGCGCCATGCAGGCAAAAGTGGAACGCGCTCCTACAGGTGCGCTGCAATTGACACATATCTGATGTCTGTCTTTCTTCCCGATAGTTTCTTGATGTGTACGTGTGTGTCTGCTCCGAAAGAAAAGGAGGCCCTTGGTGGGTGGCTTTGGGCATTAGCCTTTTCCTCCCCTGCATGCCCCTTGGCTGGCAGCTGCGAAGCGGGTGATCCTTTTTCACCATATATTTCGACCATATCGCCATTCATTCAAGATTTTGATGAATGAATTGAATAAAGACTCCTGATTTTCGATTCGTCGAATTTGAAGACCTTACCCGATTCCGCTTCATTCAATTCAAGGGTCCTGAGGCCAATTCGACTTCAAAATCTTCAAATATCAGCCCTAGACTCACTCTTGAGCGCTGTTTGCCTTGATGGCGGCGGCGCAACGTGGTCTCATCGCAGCCAAATTGGCGAGCTGTTTCAGCGTAATTGACCGATTCTGAGGACTTCAGGAAAGCAAGCGCTTCGTCAATAGCCGCCATGGTTGTTGAGATGTTCCAGATTGATGTTGAGACAGAATGTCGGTAGGTAGGTAGGTAGGATGTCGCATATCAAGCCTGTCTAGGATGATTATTCATGAAGTGACGATGTTACTCGCAACGCCGCTGTTGCCTGCTAGGCAACCACTACTGCGTAATCACGCGACGGACCTTTCATTTGCGTATAAAGAGCTGCACAGCTCCGTGCGTTCGTTCGTTCACTTCTTGTTCTTTAGATAATTCTCATCAATTGCCTGATGCCATCTCTGACCCGTGTGGAGCCAAATGTCTGACAGTTATGAGCCCGGTAGCACTTAGGCGCTCATCATAGCTGATTCCGACCATCGTGCAAGATCGCTCGCACGGTGCCTATCGCCACACCAGACATTGCAGTAATCAATATATATTGATAAGTATGGGCATATTTATTGTTAAGCTTATCAATATCGATAACAATATGGAAGTCCCCTATCAATATGTATTGCTAATATGCCCCTATTTTGACTTGAATGCCTGTTTTAGGCGTACTTACTTTTTCCACACGTCAGCCGTAGCGCTGAGGAAAGGGGCTCGGCACAGAATGGGAGCATTCTTTCGTTCAAGATTCTCCATGCCCTCCATTTTGGTGATCGAAGTGCGCCCCTCGATATCTCAGCTTTGGCAATGGAAGACTACGTATCCCGTGTGCCGGAAGTTGACATCGCATCGAACCCTTCGTCATCAATTTTGCCTTCCGATAGTGTCTCGCAATCTGCCAGTATACCTTCAGAATCGGAGCATTCCTCCGGCAGCAGTCAAGAGGAGGAAGTTGAGAGCGACGTCGACTTGGCATCACTTTCGACAGGCTCGAGGCGATGAGCCACGCACGGCAGGTGGCAATTTACTCCACTACTGCAAACGTTGTCGCAATCCATCGTGGTCAACCCACATTTCTGGCAACGCCCGCTATCATCTCGAAAAGGTTCATCACGTACAAGTCAGAGAAGACACGAATGCTCGATGCAAGCGTCAAGTAGCCATCGAGAATGCCTTCGCGAGAACAAGCGAAAAGCAGCTGAGGCTGACTCAAGAGAGCGAGGTCAATATTTTGCGGAGCGTGATCAATGTCGATGCTTTCCGAGAGGCACAGATGCTACTTTCCGCGAATAGGCATCTGCCACTGAGCTGCGCGACGTGGCCAGAGTATCAGGCACTTTGACCGCGATCAACCCCGCAGTCGAGGAGTTCCTCGTCGACTCTAGCAACACGGTCGCTTCGGATCTAGATAGGGCCTACGACACGCATCAACAATCCGTCTGTCGGTGGCTCGAAGGCGCTCGGAGTCTTGTGCATATCGCAATGGATGTATGGTCTTCTCCTCAACGCAAGGCATACATCGCTGTTCATGCGCAATGGGTCGACGAGGCATACAAGCCTCGCAAGGCATTGCTGGGATTGCCAAACCTGCGACGGTCGCACGCGGGCGCAGCGATGACGCCGCACCTACTGAAGATCATCCGGAGATACGGCATAACACAAAAACTCGGCTATTTCACCGGGGACAATGATGCTAAAATGACACTTGCCTCCGTCAACTTTCTGCCGATTTATCGCAAGAGCATGGGCTGACCTTTGATCCAATATCCTCTCGAACGCGGTGCGCTGGCCACATCATTAACCTTTCCCTGCAAGCCTTTCTTTGCGACCAGCGAAAGTGCACTTCAGGCCGCCGTTGAACAGGCGGACGATGAACTGAATCAAACTACTGTTGCAGACGCCTTGCATGACCACCTCCATTCAGAATCTACGCCAAGAACTCACGCCCAGCGCAGGAAAAGAAATGACATTGCCGGTTGGCGGAGTATCGGTCCAATGGGAAAACTTCACAACATTGCTGTGTTCATTCGCAACTCTACAATTCACAACGACGCATGGGACGACATTGCGGGGAAAGCCCTCGGTATCGACAACATCACGCGCTGGAACTCGTGGTTCAAGCTGCTTGATGCCGCCATCAGCCAGGAAGGCCCATTGTCGGTCTTCGTCAATCAGTATCATCGAGAGCTTGAGGACGACATCCTGACTCATGATGACTGGCAAGTATTGAAGATGACACACGAGTTCTTGCAGCCGTTTCACCAGGCCACCATGGAGCAGCAAATGGCCTGGGCTTCAATAGATCAGGTGCTAGAGAACATGGACATACTCTTCGTGCAATTCGAAGACGCAAAGGTCAGTCGCAGACTCTGCAAGTATTGCCTTCGGGCTGAAGAAGAGAAGCTCAACTTCGATGCAGGTCAAGTATGCCGAAAACGCCCACATGGTAAGCTCGGTTCACATGGGCTGGTGGGTTCTTTCAAAGTATTACGAAGAAACCGACAAAACCCCGTGTATGCCACGGCACTCTGCTCCATCCAGAAAAACGGCGGAGGTATCTCGACCGTCATTGGGCACCAGAGTGGCGGCAGACAGCCATTGCTGCAGCGCAGCGGCAATGGGCGAAGTATAAGGACAGACCGATTTCGTCGGAGAGAACCGTGCGACCCAGTTGTGAAGCGCGAGGTCGCTTCTTACGAGCGCATAAGGCAGTCAATGAGTGTCCTGGATGAACCTGGCGATGAAGACGAGTTTGAGAAATTCATCAATGCTCCTCCGAGACATATGCTGACTGCCAATCCGCTTGAATGGTGGTGTCGTGAGGAGCAGAGAGCCGAGTATCCACGCTTGCATCAGATGGCCCTTGACATACTCAGCGTCCCAGCGATGTCGGACGAGCCGGAGCGGTGTTCTCTGCACAAGGCGGACACTTTCTTGGGATCGAGCTCGACTTTCCGCGGACAGGACTGAAAAGCTGCAATGCTTGGGTAATTGGGTGAGGAACGATTTGATTCGCAAACTGTACGTTGCGGTTGATGACGAGATCATGGATGTGGGCGGCGCCAACGGAGACGGAGATGAGCATTCAATGTTATATTAATAATTATTGATAAGCTTAACAATACATATCAATATAGCCACACTCCTAACAATACATAACAATATGCCAAAAATATGTATTTATTTATTATTGCAATGTCTGCGCCACACGCACACATCACTCAGGGGATACAAACCCTGCCGCTTTTGTCTGCTTGCTTACGCCAATCGTTCTATCCCTCCTTGCTGCCCATTTCCCAACACCAAAGGCTTTCCGAAGATGACAGCCAAGTCTGAGGTTACGCTCTCCAGACCGTCCGAATGGGCTTCCTGGTACGACGATTTCGTCTCAAGGGCTGAGACTTCCAAGGTCTTTGGCTTTGTCGATATCGACAAGGATGCTCCGATCCTGGAGGAACCAAAGGAGCCTATGACTTCCGAGGAAATGCTTGAGTCACTCAACAAGTCTGCCTTTAACGCTTGGGCACGCGCATACCAGCAGAACGCTGCATCTGCCGGACCAAGACCAGACCCGGCCACTGACCTCAACGATGGTCAGTGGACCCGACTCACACGTCTTCAGTCCGAATACAAAGTCAAGCTAGCGACCTTCGCCAACCGGCAGCGCGCCTATGCTGAACTCGCTGTTTGGGTCCGATCAACTGTCGATAAAACCTATCTTGGCAACACGACTTCCAAGTCTGACCTTCGCGTTATTGTCCGCGACCTGAAATCAAGCCTTGCGCCCTCTGAAGACGAACAGAAAGAGGAAGCACGCTTAAGATACCGTCAGGTCCTCACCCAGACAAAGAGAGTCAAGCCGAGGACTGGCTCGTGGCTTGGAATAAAGCCAAGTTAGAAGGCGAACGACACAAGATCGCCGAGCTTGAAGGACAGTCTGCCCTCAATGACTTTCTCACAGCGACTTCTGCCTTTGATGCGACATGGGCAAGCCAGCAGAAGGTCCACATCATGAACAGCAAAAAGTTCGGCCTCAAGATTGATGTCACACTACGCGCATTGGGCGAACTGTTCCACGAGCAGGTCCGAAGCACCAGAATGAGCAGCAAGCTGTCTGACAGCGTGTTTGCCGCCTCTGATGCAGCTCAAAGCCACTGTCCATGCGGAGTGCCGTCGTCTAAGCACCGATGGAAGTCCCTTGACTGCGCTGCTGTACAAATTGCAATCAATGGCGAGTCCAAGGATGGACGACAAGTCAAGTCCAGCCGCGTCAAGACCTGCAAGAAGCTCTCAAGCAAGCCAAGTGGAAGAGTCTTGTAGACACGGTCAAGGCCTCGGCAGCCACTGCCAAGACAGATCAAGCAGGAGATAAAGGAAACCCACGCAAACATGGCGACTTTGCCGGACTGACAATCGATGCAAAAGGCCTCACAAGTGGAACCACCGACTCGGTCTTTTCAGCTCTACGCGAGAAGCATCCTCTTTACAATTCGACGATCTATGACGGTGGAGCAACTACCCATATCGTCAATGACAAGAGTCTGCTGACCGACATCCGCGAAGCTGAGGAAACCGACTACGTTATGATCGGAGAAGGTTCCTTGAAGGTCGAAGCACGGGGCACTCGAAGGGTGGAAAATGTTCTGGATGGCGAAAACGGAAGAAACACACGCGCCCTTGTTCTTCTCGACGTTGCGCATGTGCCACGATTCCACACGAACATTGTCAGCGCGAAGAAGCTTGCAAGGAAGGGTCTATGGCACTGTGGGGTCGACAACACGCTTCGAATGGGAACCTATGACGACAATGATATCCTTTGTCGGCTTACAGACCAGTACGATCTCGACGTAGTCGAATACAAGCCAGTTTCCCGCTCTTACTTCAAGCTTCCACAATCACTGATCTCCGTGTTCAACGCCTTCCAAGGCGTATTTTCTTCCTTTCAGACAGACAACACTAGGCCAAGACGGCAGAGAATGGCGATTTCAAGGGTTCCGCCTCCACCACGATTGATTCGTCCGAAACCTGGCATCACCGATCCTGCCACGCTGGGCCACAAGCACTTGAACAACTTGTCTTACAGACAAAGGGCATCCGGATCAAGGGCCCAACCACCGTTCAGTGCACGGCCTGTGGCACCGGCAAGGCAACCGAGATTATCTCCCGCAGGGAATCCCCGAACAAATCAAGGCAACCGTTCTTTCGGGTCTTTATCGACATTTTCGAGTTCCTGCGGCATACAACGGACACCGCTACGTTCTACTTGTCACCGACGAGTTTAGCGGTATGATGTTTTCCTGGTCCTTGACTTCAAAACGGAAGTCAGCCAGATCATTAAGGACTTTGAAGCCCGAGTTAAACGACATACGGGTGCATCGATCTGCAAGATCAAAATCGACAACGAAAGGACCATCATCAACCTGCCCTTCCAACGCGATTCCGAGTTCCAGATCTGGGCTACAGAAGTAGGCATTGAGATTGAACTTCCGCCGCCGCACACCAAGGAACCGACTGGTGGTGCGGAACGACCTGGGGGTATTAATCAGCAACGAATGCGCTGTATGTTCGGCCTTCTGCCGCAAGAACTCTGGCCAGAAGTCTATCGTGCAGCCGTTTGGATACACAATATCCTTCCAAGCCGGAGGAACGACTGGATGTCGCCTAAGGAGAAAATGGACCGTTGGTTTCACCAACACTTTCGATGGTACCGGTACAGACCGCCAAACGTCGACTTTGATGCAAACAAGGATCTCCGACCAGACTGGCGTGGGGTGTATGCGTATGGATGCAAAGCATATCCCCTGAACAGCCGATACAAGGCCCGGAAAGACATCAATCAATTCAAGCTTGGCCCACGAGCACACGTTGGATACCTTGTTGGCTACCACGCCAGCAATATCTATCGCATCTGGGTCCCCAAGCTCAATCAGGATTATCAGGTTATCCTGTCCCGAGATGTACGATTCAACGAGGAGGAATTCTTTGATCCAGAGAAGGAAGAACAGCTCGAGACTGAGGCAATCGCCGAGTACAAGCCAACGTCACAGGCGCTCGATCCGCTTCCTCAGCGAGACTGGGACACGCTCTTGGATGAATTTCTATGAGTTTGATCATCATATCTTGGGTGCGACCTGGAGGGTTCGAACTCGGGGGTGGAAGACACTAGAGGTGCCATCTCAGATGTTAAAGACGCTGGATCGCAGCTTCTGCAGCCTCTATCGCAACTTCGCAAGACAGACTTCTCACGCCTCTGAGCGAATCCCCGGTCCTTCCGACGCCGGAACTGTTACGGCCAAGCACATACGAGCCTTGACGGCTATAAAGATGTATTGGCACTATGAACGAAGACTCAAAGCTAAGGAGCAAGAAAGAAGGACTAGACTACACGACCGAGCTGGCCCTTATGTGCATATGCACGAGGTTACCTCAGCAGCGCTCAGGTAAGCACGAGGTCGCACGTGGGCACGTGATGCTGCTTGGGCACGCGACACTGGTGAGGTTCTGCGCTGGTGTCTCTACGCTGGCGCGCAGGGTCGTGACAGGAACCAACACCACAGCTGGACAGAAGGGACGCCTCACCAGCTTCCAGGTCAACCGGCTCAAAGATTTCAACACCAGACCCACCGTTGCAAACAGACCCGAGCTCACCTGCCCAACGTTCTGTGGCTGGTTCAAACAGCGATCTAACTGAGCATCATAACGCCGAAAGCTCTCCAGTGGAGTTAGAGTCTCTGCCCCAACAAGACAGAGAAACAAGCTATGATAGCCAAAGGTCGACTGATTCAAGCGATCCAAGTCCTGAAGGAGTCACCCGGGACACGATCGTAGTTCAACCGCTGCCACCACGCCGGCGACCTTCCTCAGAAGGCAATAGCATGCAACCGGACAAGCAGCCGTCAGGTGACCAACCAATTCCTGAAGAACCACGCGGCAAAACGCGCACCCGCCGCAGTCAACAGGCGATTTACGGTGACCAGCCAACTCGCAAGAGTGACCGGACACCAAAGCCAAAGAGGAAGCACGATGATTACGTCAACAGCGTTTTCACGGCCCTGCTTCCAGCGGATCAACATCCAGAGGGAAACCTCGAAACATTTCATAGTGTCTTTCTTGCCGCAGTCTCTAAGACGGCACGAGATCATCGATTTCACCGCGATGACCTTGTACGACTCCCTAAACGCTACCAGGATCTAGAAAACCACCCGATGGGCCCAGACTTCAAAGAGGCCATAAGGAAGGAATTGCACGATCTCCTCCGACGTGGCACCTGGAGACTGGTCGAACGCAGCAAGGCACAGGGATCGCCTCTTCCACTGAAGTGGGTGTTCACCTATAAGTTTGATCAGGACGGATACCTCCAAAGGTGCAAAGCTCGGATCTGCGTCCGTGGCGACCTGCAGGACGAGGACGACGGACGGGAGACATATGCAGCCACCCTTGCAGCAAAAACCTTCAGAATCGTGATGGCAATCGCAGCCCGATTCGGTCTTGACGTTAGACAATTCGACGTTGGTAACGCCTTCCTGTACAGCGACCTAAAGAAGGACCATCCCGTCTACGTCCGGCTCCCGCAAGGCTTTGTAGAACTTGGTTTCTTGAAACCTGGAGAAGGCTCAACCATGATCGCGGAACTTGACAAGGCCTTGTATGGTCTTCGAGAGTCTCCACTGCTCTGGTACAATGAGATCTCCCAGGCCCTCAAGGAGGCAGGGATTGACCGTACGGATGAAGAACCTTGTGTGTTTACCAACGGCAAAATCCTGGCTCTTGTCTATGTCGACGACATCTTGATTCTCAACCCACGGCAAGAGAAGAAGGCGGTAAACGACCTGGTCCAGCATCTCCAATCCAAATACGATCTGCGCGAAGAAGAATTTAAGTGGTATCTTGGCATCAGAGTTGTAAGGGATCGACCAAACAGGAAGATCTACCTCTGCCAAGACGCGTACGTCGAGAAAATTGCGCGAAAGTTCAAGCTCAGCGACTTGAAACTCCGAGTACCATCAATCCCCATCGCGACGATCCCGCTCGTCAAGTACAACGGGCAGGCTACCAAGGAAGAGATAAAGGCGTATCAGGAACGAGTTGGATCCTTGATGTATATCGCGGTCATGACCAGACCCGATATAGCACGAGCAGCAGCCCAGCTCGCGAGGTTCCTGACAAACCCATCGCCTGAACACCTTGAAGCCGCAAACCAATGCATCCGATACCTATACTCAACGAGATTCCTTGCAATCATGTACGACGGGATGCATCAGGGAGAGGTACTTGTGATCGCAAGCGACGCGTCATTTGGAGATGATATCGAGACCCGTCGTTCATCGCAGGATATGTGATGATGTTGTTCAACGGACCGGTCATATGGAAAGCTGGGCTCCAAGACACAGTCACGTCTTCAACCACCGAAGCAGAAATTCTCAGCCTAGAGAGAACAACCAAGGAGAGTTACGCCCTGGACCGACTATTAGGGATATCTCTCTTGATCTCGGGCCTCTGAAGATTTACTGCGACAACCTTCAGTCGATCCGACTAGTGGTTGAGGAGAACCAGAGAATCACGACCAAGTTGCGGCACGTTGACATACAGAACATGTGGCTAAAACAGGAATTCAAGAAGGGTAGGTTCCTAGTGGAATACTTGAAGACTGATCAGATGCCAGCAGACGGATTGACCAAAGCGCTATCGAGAGCGAAATTCGAGCACTTCCGATCGATGCTGAATCTGACAGATATCAAGAGGGAAGCAAATTTGGAAGTGGGATGTCGATGACCTTCTAGGTCAGGCTGGTTGTGATAGCTTCTAGCAGCGTTGACTTGATCACTCAACGCTGGGGGGTGTGTCGCATATCAAGCCTGCCTAGGATGATTATTCATGAAGTTCTCACGAAGAGAGCATGCAAGTGGGCATTGATTGTGTAACGATGGGTATGATGTGTTGTATTCCGTCGTGTCTGTCCCTCTTGCAAATGCCCTCTTCTAGGCTCCCTATTTATATCCCTTGGTTCCCTATTGATATCCCCTTTTCAGTTGTATAGGTACAATATCTAGGGGGCTGGGCTCCTTTCCCCAGCCCCCCCTTTGCATACTGACTTTCCCTAGTCGCCGAGGGCTCTTTCAGCTTCCCCCGTATATGCAGTCTCTCTACAGCCTATGTGGCTGCCTAATGCGGTCTCCTAATAGTCTTCTGCAGCCGCAGAACTCTCTGCAGGCTGCCTTTCTGTCTAGCCGTCAGGGCCCTTAGCTGTATACCCTTATGGGATCCCGAGCTCAAGATCTCAGACGTGCTTCGCGACAGAAGTGGCGATGTTACTCGCAACGCCGCTGTTGCCTGCTAGGCAACCACTACTGCGTAATCACGCGACGGACCTTTCATTTGCGTATAAAGAGCTGCACAACTCCGTGCGTTCGTTCACTTCTTGTTCTTTAGATAATTCTCATCAATTGCCTGATGCCATCTCTGACCCGTGTGGAGCCAAATGTCTGACAGTTGGCGAAAGGGTGGGGTTGGCGAAAGGGTGGTGGTGCATGGTAGTCGTTTACTTCCCGCCTCCGGCTTGTCACATGGCGCCGACATACCACGCCACGTTTGGACGGTCGTCTAGTTTTGACATGTTTTTGTCTTTTGTTTTGTTTCCGTTTTTGTGTTTGTTTTGTTTTTGTTCTTGTTTTGGCTCAGTGCGCGTGGATCGTGAAACTCTCATCCGTAGGCTTTACCCTACGGTCCCTATCTGCCCGTGGGCAAGTTCTCCTGGTTGCGCGCCCGTGATGAAGTCGCTGCGCATTACTGGCCACAACCGAGAGTGGCACACTGCGGTTGCAGGGCGGTTGGCTCTGGTCGCTCTCCTGTGTCACCGAGCAAGTTGAAATGCCATTCTGCTGGGGCCCATCGACTAGGCCCATTGACTGGGGCCATGAGAAACCCCGGGGGCAATTGTTGCATGTTACCCGAGCCACGGCGACATCTGGCCAACCTCTCTTGAGGTCTTGCCGGATGTAACCCGGGGCTCCGAACAGCACTGGTTTACAGCCGTTCCTCTCACAGTGGAGGGCTGCATAGATGCCAGCGTAAGCACCACGACAGTCCAGCCAATAGTGGTTGGCAACCACAACCCCGCGAACATGACTACCTTCAGCGAGTGTGACATGTTTGCTAAATTGAATTGTTCCCGGCACGCCCGTTCACTAAGATTACTAGGGGTGCCGTGTTTGGGTGAGAAGCTAACCAGTATCAATTCTGCGTGTCGGAACGTGTTGTGCCTGGCGTTGTAGCTGCTAGTTTGTGGCGTTTCCGTGATGGCGTACCTTGGATGGTTTGAAGATGGTCGGAAGTGATTTTGAAATCCGGCGGGCCACGGGATCCGGCAGATCACCGGTAAATCACTTAGTTGCCGACACTTTTCACTAAGATTACTTAGTGTCCGTACGACGGATAGGAAGGTAGGTAGGAAGATAGGTAAAGAGGTGATCTTAGTAGTTGTATTGCTTAGAGAGTAGCTAGAAAGCTTGCTTAAGAAAAGGATATCTAGTAGACATAAAGTCCCTTTATATAGAAAACTCCTCCCTTTCTTTCCTCTGATTATTCGTTCGATCCCTCTAGGCAGCAGGGTATTATTCTAGACAACTAGTCTTAGATCTAGGAATTCTTTATATAGAAAACTCCTCCTTTCTTTCCTCTGATTATTCGTTCGCAGGGTTCAAAGCCACTCCACTCCACTACATTCTGAGAATCTGGAGTGGATGTGGATGATTACTAAGATCACGGCCGTGGTGTGGATGGTAGATATGGATCCACATGTGGAAATTCTTTCCACATTTACCCGTTGGCGGGGCCCTTCGGGAGCCACTAAGGGGACAAGCCCCTTAGTTGGGGAGCTACCCGTGCCACGCCCCACTTTATTTGGAATTCGCAAGCTCCCACCTCCTAAAGTTGGTGCTCACCACCAGTATCCCCACACCACCGGAATACCCAGAATTTCGACTCCCCGACCTAGAATCGCTTCAACCACCGCGTACCACGCTCAGAATCGCGTACTTCCACTCGTTCTAACCTTCCTGAACCTCCATTGGCGTGCCTTTTTGCTGCTTCCTCAAACCATCGCTTGCGTGCGTTATGCGCCTTTTCTCCGCGTCTTCTACTACCTTCCTTGCTTTAGCAATCTGATCATCTCCCTTTGTTGCACCATTTCCCGTCCTTGGGCCACTGACAATACTCCTCCTGATTGTAACTGTATATTCTTCATAGCCTTACGTTGTTTTTGGATCCGCTCCGCCATTTTGGTTCGTCCCAAGTCCTTTTAGTCTGCACGAGCTCAGTCGCCAGAGATAGCGATCCTCGAATAAATCGACTGAGATCGTGAGAAAAGTCGGGATCCAGGCTTTATCGTCTTCAAGGACGAGATCTAATTTGTCCGCTACCTTGTTTATTTGTCGTAGAGTCAATGGTGTCTCGAAAGGTGAGGAGTGTGGTCCTGAATTGGGAGGAGGTGGGTGTCGTGCTTGACGAGCTTCCAAACATTGAAGTACTACTTGTGGATTGAATGGGAAGATTCCTGTCTTGCGAAATGCGGAGCGTATAGTACTCTCCTTGAAAGCATGCAATCGTACTTGTTGAATGCAGGAGAGAAACTCAAGCTTGGTTATGTTGACGAGGCCATCTCGAACCATGACATCTAAAGCCTTGGCGTGATAGTGCTTTAGGGCTGGAAAACGACAACGTCCAAAGGCTGAAGTGCATGCGTGAGATTAGGCGGCATGCCGAAGGGAATAATATTGTGGTTGTCGCAGTATTCAATGAACTGCCTGGTATGGTGAGAGCCATGACCATCAAGAATTAGAAGTCGCTTCGAGCTTCTTGAGCTTTTTTCCGAGTGCTTGTCAAATGCTGGAGCCACTCCAGACTAATCACGTCGTTTGAGTAACCAGTAGGCGTGGGTCGAATAACTGTGTCAGGATCTAGCTCAGGTATTTGATCCCATGAAGCCATGTGCATCTGGCCAGCGAGTATCAAAAGCCGGAACAACCTCCCATTCGCCGAGATAGCTTCGATCGCAGTAGCGGATTCCTATTCTCAGGAATGCCAAAATAATGAGCTCTCCTCCGTTTTGTCACAATCAGCTGGTCTTTTCCAACCCCGATGCGAAAACCAGTCTCGTCCATATTCCAGATATCCTCAGGAGGTATACCATTGTCTTGGATAACCTGCCGAAGATGCTGGAAATACTGGTTAACTCGTGTAAGATTCTCGGAGACTTGGCGCTCTGCTTGAAGCCTTTTTTGGCGCTTTTTGAAGTAGCCGTGACGCTTTAAGAAGCGAGAAGTCCAGTTTGGCCCCACGGTAGGAGCGTCGCGCTGGCTAGACCGCTCGCGCAAGATACAGTTTGCCGCGTCAGTAACGAACTCGACGCGTACCGCAAGGTTTATATTATCCAAACGATCGATATAGCGACATAGGGCCTTCTCTTCTGGTTCGGAAAGCCTCGTATTTCTAGCTCGCTGGCCAGTTTTAGGAGGTCGGCCTTGAAGACGGTATCGCAATCGATCACGTGTTACACCGAATTCTCGCGCTACGGTTGCGACTTTAGCACCGGAAAATTTTCAATATATCGAAGAGCGTTTTGTACACGTGCTTCCATTTCGGCTATCGACGAGATCGTGAATTGGTTAAGATATAGGGATGCTGAAGTCGGGGAGTCGAAATTCTGGGTATTCCGGTGGTGTGGGGATACTGGTGGTGAGCACCAACTTTAGGAGGTGGGAGCTTGCGAATTCCAAATAAAGTGGGGCGTGGCACGGGTAATGTGTGGACGCGCCCCGAACCCGTGCACACCCCACCACACTCGCGCTTGACCGTAGCTCCCACCAAAAATACGCGTAACGCGTGGTAGTCAGACTGTGCATCACATCCATCATCACTATGCGTACCCACGCCGGCGCAGCCGCCGCCGCCGCCGTTGAGAAGGCTGCAATGCTGGTCATTACCTCTCGTGACGACCTCACGTATGGCAGGCGCCGGCAGACGCGTAGCTCGTCTGCCAAGCCCGTCTCTATTAGGCAGGCTGCAGCTATCTTCAACGTGCCCTCCTCGACTGTTCAAAAGGCCGTACAGCGTGCCCTTGGCCGCCGTAGTTCGGCTGGCCGACCAAGACTTCTTTCTGACGATGAAGACGATGCCGTCGCC